TGCAATTGCCATCAAGAGAGACTGGATTATTCAAAAATGTAATATGAATAATGCGTTTTTATATGAATATTTGGGAGAGGAAGTGTTCATAAAGATACCTCAAGACTTCTTCAAAGAAAACAAAACTCGAGTTTATTGTCTTAAAAAATCTCTCTACGGCCTGAAGCAAGCTTTTGAAATTGGTATAAAAAATTCACATCCACACCTTGGTCTTGGTTTTCATCAATCTCAGGCAGATCACTCCCTGTTCACATACAAAATGGAATACACCTTTGTGGCGGCTCTTATCTACGTTGATGATGTGATCATTGTCGGAAATTATTCAAAAATCAAACAAAGAAAATCACATCTAGATGAAAAATACAACATCAAGGATCTTGGACCTTGAAATATTTTTCTTGTCATTGAAGCTACACTACAAAAAAGTTAAATTTAGCTACAAAAAATTTTGTAGAAAAAGGTAATAAATTAATAGCAAAAATGTTTTTGTAACAAAATTCATTTCATCCCCGATACCACGTTAGTAAAAGTCTTTAACGATAAATTCGTAACGAAAAATATTTTTTTTGCAATGAAAGTTAGAAAAGAGATATAGCTATGAAAATAATATTTCCTACCTAAATCTCTTTTGCTATAAAAGTAAAATTTATAACAAAAGAGTTGTACAACAAAATATACACAAGTTTTTTTTAGCCAAATGGTTTTAGTTATAAAAAATAATTTTGTACCTAAAACCTTTTTTCTATGAAAATAAAATTTTCTAGCAAAATAAATTTAGCGAAAAAATTAATTTTGTAGTACATAATTTATTTTTAGCAATGAAATTAATTTTGGTTGTTAAATGACTCTAACTACAAATATTTTTAAGTTAAAAATATTGTAACTAATTAGATACTTTTTTGTAGTGCTACAAGAACATCCGATACTCAGGTCCTCAACCAAAAAAAATATACCATAGACATCTTGGAAAACAATGGAACGAAGGGATTTCGGTCGAGTACTTTTCTTATAAAAACAAAATCTGAAACTAGATAGAAACGAAGAAGAGTTCCGGTTGACGCCAATCAATAACAGCGGTTAATTAGAAGACTTCTATATCTTCAAGCCACTCACCCTGACATTGCTTATTTGGTGAATGTTCAGAGTCAATATGTGTTGATCCAAATCAAGGTCACAAGGAAACAACAATGAGAGTATGTACTACGATACCTTAAGGTCACTTCTGGCCAAGGCATTATTTTTCCACTGTATGGGAGAATTAATTTGAATGCATATTGTTACTTAGATTAGCTAGGGTGTCCTTACACTAGGTGGTTCAGAACATGATACATCATTCTGCTCGGAGGTGCTTCAATATCATGGAAAACTAAGAAACAATCTTCGATATCTTGTTCTTCAAAAAAGGCAAAGTATTAGGCAATGATGACAACAATTAGTGAAATTTTATAGATGCGTTGGTTGCTTAAAGATTTGGAGCTAAATCTTACAAATTCTATATCTTTATTTTTTGACAATCAAGCAGCTCGCCACATTGCCAACAACCTTGTGTGTCATGAACGGACCAAGCATGCTGAGATAAATTGCTACTTCATCCGTGAGAGGGTTGAGTATCGGGAGATTATGCCCATGCACATTGCTACAAAGTTGCAAATTGCAAACCTGTTCACGAAAGGATTAAGAGCACAATGATTACACTTACTTCTTGACAAAATGGACATTGTGAATCTACGTGCTCTATCCTGAGGGGAAGTAAAGAATTTTGTCAACCTTTCATTTTTAATTCTCTCCTCCATCACAACACATTAGTATCTTCTCTTTAATTAGATATTCTTTTTTTTTTTTTTTTATTTTTGTCCGTCTAGTTTTCTTTATTTCTATTGCTTTGTAGAGATGAATGTATTCTAAAATATACTCAATATCATGAAATTTTAGATTCTAGGAACATTTGATTTTGATTTATTTATCTAAATAATTATCAATATATATAAGACTATGTCGATATTTTTCTTTTTTAGAAAAACCACATAAAGCCAAATTTAAATCGACTATAGAATTATATGCATTAGAACAATGGTTTTCTGAAGATTTACTAAACATAAAATAATACAAAAGTATTAGCTATTCATAAAGAGATGGTGTTGATTTGACCAAGTCAGCATCGAACTGCAAGGCAAATAGCACACGATTTTGTACAACACAAAATAATACTCCCACCGTCTCAAATATGGTACAACATTTGTTTCCAACACGAAAATTTATGTAGATAATATTAAATATGACAATTTGGGAATTAGGTGGTTCGATAAGAGAGAAAAGTATATATTTAGTTAAGTAATTTAATGAGATAAAGTGTAAAGTAGATATTAAATATATTTAATTATTTCTTATTTTAAAACTATTGCAGGGTGTTTAAGACATAGCCAAAAAAAAAATATTGCAGAATGTTTCGGATGGATGGAGTATTATTTTACTCACTCCGTCCCATTTAAAGGTTACCATTTTTCATTTTCATCTGTTCCAAAACAAGGTTACCATTTCCTAATTTAGTAATTGTACTACCTACTTCACATAATAAATACCCTTTCAACTTACAATATATTACACAAATGCCATTACTTTTATATTATACTATACTAATAGGGGTATTTTTATTTTTTTTACTACAATCCAATATAATACTAATATTAAAAAATCTACGTGTAAAAAACAGACGCTACCCTTATTGCTGGACGGAGGAAATATATAGAAACATGTAATGTACGGTTTATATATTGTAGTATATTATATATATATATATATTGTGGTGAAAAGTAATCATATTATATTGTATATTTTATTATTATAGACTGTTAAAATATTTATTGTATATTATAAAATAATGCGTTGTAATTTATGTGCTATTTTATCTTTTTTTATATATATATATTAATTAATCAAATCAACATTAGTCAACATGCAAATTGGATCGCTTCATAGAAATACCTATAAATTTATTTAATTAAGATCAAGTATTCCTCGTGTCTACAAAAATTATGGGTCAACCTTCATATATAAAAATCCTTCAACGATCTTGTATATAACTATTGCATAGCTTAAATTGCTCAATTAAATAGAGAATATATATATATATATATATAAAAGATAATAAAATTTCTTTCACAAAAAGTGCTCTTTAATTACTCATTGTTTCTCAAAAGACTGAAGAAATAAAGGCGCAAGAGATTTGATTGAATCAAGTTTTGTAAAGTATAGGAATGCATTGTCTAGGGGTTTGGATTTTATATTTTGATTTAAGTAAAATTTTGAATTTAAATAATTGTTTTATGTAGTATAAATTATTAAGAAGTTATGCATTGTCTTGAATATAAAATTAATATTTAGTATAATATAAAAATTAAAAAATAAATATTTGATTTACTATTTTTTTTAAAAAAAATTATAAATAATGAAAACTAAATAAAATCATCCAAACAAACACACTCGAAGCAAACTCTTTTTCTTTTACTTAGATTTTATTTTATTTTATTCCTCTTCACGTGCCTATTTGTTAGAAATATGAATGCATATTTACCTAAGGATTGATTATGCCAACATATTTACATACCTCACGCACACGATTTTATATCCTATCAAATATATTTTATATTCAAATCATTCACGGATATATATATATATATTCATATATTTAACTGTAGAAATAATTGGTATTTTTATAAATTATCACTATATTAATTTTACCATATATATATATATGGACATATGACTTATAAAATAATGATTTCTTTCAAACTTGACAGACAAAGTCCACTTGTTCATTTTAAAATTAAATGTCACTATGAATTAATTGATAATTATAGTGATTGAACCATAGGCAATACTAACAACATCAATCATTGAAAATTGAAAGAAAAAAATAAAAATAAAAATAAAAATAAAAATCCCTATTGATATTTGGATAGGTAGATTTCAAAGAGATATGTATGGATAGAGATGATCCACAGTTGATGAAACTATATATACATACATACATACATACAGATGTATATTATTGGTTGGTATGGTTGATTAAGTTAGGGAAAATAACACCAAGCCCATAATTGTATGAGTGGGAAAGAGGTGGAGGGAGGGCTTAATAGTGTGTTTGTTTGTGAATTCCAATTTTGGATTTCAGTTTTAAATCGTAAAATATTTTAATGTATATAGTTGTCTCATATGTTAATATAATATTTTGAATGTAAAATTGATTTATATTTAGTAAATACATATTTTTTTATTTTGAGCTAGTTATGTTATTTTCTTAGACACAGAGATTAATAAATAGTGATATTTTAATATAAAAATAAAAGTAAATAAAAATATAAAATAGACGTATTATATTAAATTTATTAGAGAAAGTATTGGAAAATTTATTATTACTCCCTTCCTCCATCTTGTTCCATTTTCTGTAGATAGGAGAACCAGACAATAGTATATTTAGTAATAATTAAGAAATAAATCAATAAAAATAATTATTGTATAATACAAATAATTATAATTAAATTTAAGATAATTAATTAATTTAATTTAATTTAAAATGTGCTTACAAGTTTATAATTATCTTTTAGACAAAAGAGAACAAATGATGTGAGACCAATGTAAATGAGAAATATGAATAAAATAAATAATAAAATTATAAGTAAATAAAATTATTCATTATATAGATTGTAAATAAATTTAAGGAATTAACAAAAAAGCGAAGAATGTATAAAGAAAAATAATAATTCAAATTTCAATTTAATATTTTTAAGGAAAAAAATAATTTAATAGAAAAAAAATTCAAAAAAATTTCGTAATCAAACACAACCTATATGTTAGTATTTTTCCTTTTCTTTTAATGTAAACATTTAATATATTTGAAGAGTAATGGCTTCTGCAATTATTAGTGAGTGAAGCAGCTGACAACTAGCATTCTCTCTCTCTTCTCTTTCTCTTTCTCTTTCTCTCTCTCTCTCTCTCTCAATCATCGTCACCTTCATAAATCCTCTAACTTTATATTCTCTCTAAAACCAAACTAAACCATCATTCTCTCTCTCTCTCTTGCAGATGACAGAGACAGAAACAAGAATGTACAAACCACACATCTCATTTTACAGTTTGTAATAATAATATGATTCTGGGATTCTCCCCATCTTCCATCTCCCATTCTCTCTTGCCTTTTCTGTATTCTTCAAATCATATCATAATATGTCAAAGTGAAAGTGAGTGAAAAGCATAGATTTACATCTATATCTATATCTATATCTATATATGTATATAATATATATATTTTTTCAAAAAAATAAAATTAAAAAAACCTGCAGGCAGCACTTACTTCTAGGAGCCTTGCGTTTCTGAGAATACCCTTTTTGATGTTCTCCATAACTCTCCCCTCCACATATGATAAATAATACTAGTAATATTTAATTAGCTTCCAATTAGGATGCATATGCCTCCACCGCCACCGCCGCCGCCGCCGGGTGGAGGAGGCGGAGGAAAGGAGGTGTTCAATTATCCAATTAATCCCGAAGGCGATGGAGCAGACGATGAGCATCAGAAATTTGGAGATCTGGGAATTGCAGAAGCCGCCTCCCCCATAAGCAGCCGACCTCCGGCGCCGCCGATGATGGTTCAGGCGACCGCCGGCGTCGGAAGCAGCAGCGGCTCCGGGAATCGGTGGCCACGTCAGGAGACATTGGCTCTTCTCCAAATTAGGTCAGAAATGGATGCTGCATTCCGCGATGCCACCCCTAAAGCCCCTCTTTGGGACCAAGTTTCCAGGTAATTAAATTAATCATTCTCATTCTTATTATCTTCAATTAACTAATCTACATGTTTAATAATTAGGGCACAATTTGACTGCATTCAACCCCAATCTAATTCCATCAAACCCTAATTATATTTCCATTTCACTAATAATTTAGTTCTACAGTCGATCACTGGTAATTTGGGTATTTTCTTTTTGTTATCCCATGAAATTAAGGGATCTGAGGGGGTGTTTTTCTGACAAAAATTCTTTCAAAATTTTACTATTTAAATTTTGTATTTTCTGAAAGGATATAATTTTTATCTTACAAAACTTAAATCAAATCTTTTCAAATTAAACAGACACTGAGAGTTTCTTTGTCAAGTCTTGTCATTATTAGTATTATTTATATAAATGTAGCTTTACAGTGTAATAACAATTGTAGTAGAGGAGGTCTGTCTAATTTGTGGCATGATCAATTTCTGATCATCAAATTGGTCCCAGGATCAAGATAGTAGTAGTAAAAGTTGTTGTAGTTAATAATAATCTTAACCAAATGATCCAATTAGTATTAGCAGGTGCCACGAAAACCAGGGTTTTCGTGATGATTAAGGTTCATAATTGAATACATACATATCTATATACTTGTATCATCAAATAATCTTTAACGTACACTGCCATGAATTTCTGTAGAGATTAATTAATCTATCTTCTCTGTGTCTGTCTGTCTGCCTGCCTGTCTGTCTGTCCGATTCTCTCTCTCTCTCTCTCTCTCTCTCTCTCTCTCTCTCTATATATATATATATATGTATGTATGTATGTATGTATTGTGTATATGTTAATGGGTGTGGTGTAGTGTGTGCACGAAAGCGCACATGGGTTTGTGTGAATGCGTTGGCATCGTCACGAATCACGAGACGAGAAGAATCTTTTAAATCCATCTATCTATGCATACTCTATATATATCTTCTGCTGAAATCCATAATGCAATACAATATATAGTCTCTCTCTCCTTAATTAAATGGTTATTTCAGGTTCTAACTTTATAAAAAATTAAAAACTTATTAATCATTCTATTTAATATTAAAAATATTTTTATATTTGTATAATTTTTTATATAAATATTATTTTATTATTATTATTATAAGGTACTAATTGAATTTTTTTTTACTTTTTTTAAATTTGTATTATATTTTGATATAATAATTAATATTTAAATATTAACATCCGAAAAATAATAAAATCTTTAAAATTGGACTAAAGAAATAATATTTTATTGTTTAATAGAAATGTATAAGAAATTTGGTTATTTGGAGTTTTATAATATATATAAGTGTATAGTATAATATTGATATTTTTTATCTTTATATTTTATGTATAATTTAATTATATATAATGATATTTTAATAATTTAAAAAAATTAAAAAATATTTTATCACTAATATGTAATTATTTTTATTATAATTAATAACTGATACTTTTACCTAAAAGTAAAAAAAATTGAGAACATATAGTTTCTCTATTTTGTTTGTAATCATTTGCTTGCTTATTGTGTATCGAACTGTGATTTGAAATTAATTTAAAATAAATATTTATTTAATTAATATTTTATAACAAAAATAATATAATTTTACTAAAAATTCTATAATCAAATTAATTGTAGTTTCAAATTAAAATTAAAATCAAACAGAGTTTAGTTATTTTGCTTATATAGCCTCCCTCGCTCATTCAATTCCCAACTTATTTTTGTCCCTACACCAACCTTCCTTCATTTACATTACTCCCTCTACTCTACTCACCACACTACCTATTGTATGTTTCTTCCACGTTTATTATTCATTATTATTATTTTAGTTAAATAACTTTTTAAAAAATAAAGGTGTTTATTTCTTTAGTTTTTTATTTTTATTTTTTCAATTAATTATTATTTGGACCCTAAACCTATTTACATCACATATTATTATTCATTATTTTTTTTCGATTCATATTTGCATTATTTTCAAACTTTTTAAATTTAAATCCAAATAGGAAAGAAACACACTCTTAAAATTCCCCAATGCCCTTACTAATTAATTCCTTTCCCTGTCCAAAACCAGGCCTGTTTTTAAATTTATCCCACCTTTCTTACATAGATTTTTGCTTTGAAAAGCTCATGAACTCAATTGAAATGGCTATGAATTCTTTCCATCTTCTTTATCTTATAATTACTTCATAAAATTTCAATAATTTACTCAACAATCCACCGTCAGTAGCGAAGATCTTGTAGATCAAACGGTGAAACATTCTTCCTTAAGGTCTATGATCAGATAAAAATACAATAAAATCCATAAATTGAACATCAAACATTACCCTTACTTATATGCACCATTAACAGTAGAATTATAGTTGATCAGTCATCGAACGTTACCCTTATCCATATGCGTATGATGTGATCAGGAAATTAGCGGAGCTTGGGTACAAAAGGAGCGCCAAAAAATGCAAGGAGAAATTCGAAAACGTCCACAAATATTACAAGCGAACAAAGGAAAGCCGCGCCGGTCGCCAAGACGGCAAAACCTACAAGTTCTTAACTCAGCTCGAAGCTCTCGATCATCACCACCCGACCATTACGGCTACTACATCCGTTGTCCAATCCGAGGTTCCAACTTCAGCCGCCGCTCCGGTCTCCTTACATCCTCCGATAATACCTCAACAAGACAATCCCCCGGGGCTTGCCATGGGCGGCGCAGCTCCCACTTCCTACTTGGGCGTTAGCTTCTCATCCAACACTTCATCTTCTTCTGAAGACGAAGAGGGAGAAGAAGATTTAGAGATCGAATCTGCGGATGCGCGCACATTCGATCGCAAGCGTAAGAGGCCATCGCGAAGCGTCGAAAGCGACGAGAAGATGATGGAGTTCTTGGAGGGCCTAATGAGCAAAGTTATGGAGAAGCAAGAAGCAATGCAGCAGAAGTTTCTAGAAGCGATCGAGAAACGAGAGAAAGACCGGATGATACGCGAAGAGGCTTGGAAGCGGCAAGACCTCGCCCGGCTCGGCCGCGAGCACGAGCTAATGGTGCAAGAGCGCGCCATTTCAGCTTCAAGGGACGCCGCGATCATCGCCTTCCTCGAAAAAGTCACCGGACAAACTATTAATCTCCCCACGACACCGGCACCACCACCGCCGCCGCCCCAGCACCACCACCAAAGGCAGTCCACATTTCCTCAGCCTCAACAACCTCAAACCACAAATTACCATCATCTTCAACGCGACAAGCCAATGGACGACGAATTAGCTATTGCACCGGCGACAGCCGCCGAGCAACAGATGATAGCATCGGATTCGATGACAGGTGGCGCAACCCGATTGGATGCAGCAAGCTCTTCAAGATGGCCTAAACCCCAAGTTTTAGCTCTGATCCAAATAAGAAGTGGAATGGACTCCAAGTACCAAGAGGCAGGGCCCAAGGGACCTCTATGGGAAGAAATTTCTTCAGCCATGAAAAGAATTGGATACGACAGAAGTGCCAAAAGGTGCAAGGAGAAGTGGGAAAACATCAACAAGTATTACAAGAAAGTGAAAGAAAGCAACAAGAAAAGGCCCGAAGACTCAAAAACTTGCCCATACTTCCATGAACTTGATGCTTTGTATCAAAGAAAACTAACTACTAGTGGCAACCTTATAATTGGTAGCTCCTCAGGACAACAAGAAGATGTCGGGATAATGCCTTCCGCGCACACCCCGCCTCCCGGCAATGAACCTCAGGTTGCAGCTGGTGGCGAAGCCAAACTGCCGATGAGCGCTATGGGAACATATTCATTGATTGACGAACAGAATGATCGTAATGTAGGCGAACCAACGCAGGTACCTCACCTCTTTATGTTTGTTTTATTTTCGATGATGCACTACCATGAACACTATTATATAGGGAGAAACAATTTTTTTTTGGTCGGGTAAATGTCATCGTTTAATATTTTGGTCGTTTAAGTAACTTTTTTTGGAAAAATGGCTATGTATTTTTCGCTTGTTGTGCTCAAATGGTTTTTACTCTATGCGCGACACTTACACATGTATTCATGTGTTAAGTATAAGTGAGTGTCGCGTATAGAGTTAAGATCATTAGAGCGACAACAAGTGAGTATATATGATTTTTCTAGTAAGGACTTTAAGGACCAACATAATTAGGGCAAGTTATTTAACATAATTCGCTATATGAATCGAGTTGAAGTGCAAGAAAATTTGATATCTTTTATCTTAAAAGTTATACGATTATCATTTTGGTCATTTAGATCGATCTGATATGGATATTTTTTGTATCTGGCTCGTTGCTCTAATATCTTGTATCTACGCAAATATAAGATTATTAGAGCAACAATGTGTGAGATACAAATTATTTGTAGGTCTACTTGAATGATTAAAATGTGACATTCTCGCAAAAAAATAAACTGTCATAAAAAAAATCAAGTCATGGTTCTTTTTTAATAAAAAAAATATACTACTTTTTATTCTTTTTAATCATTTTTCCAACTTTTTTTACTATAAAAAGGCAAAACTTACATACTACATTAAATCCCTGCCCAAATTAAAAATAGTCTATTTTTACATGAGTTTTTTTATATATAAAATAAATTCCAAATAGTAAAACTTTGGATAGAAAGTCAAAAGAAACAAACATTAAAGAAAGTATTGCTGATTATTTCTTTGTATTGAAGCCAGAAGACATGCTAGAGAAGCAAAACAGTGGGGATCTGATCGACATAGACTATTTCAACACGGCCGACTGCTCATACAGCGACGGCGGCGAGGATAAGGATGAAGACAACAACTACCAGGAAGTAGTTAATGGTAATGAAGAGTATGTTGTTGATAATGTTCACCAGACACAAGTTAGAATGGATTATAAGGTGCAATTGCAGTCAGCTGGGAAAGGGACAAAGACAGCATCATCATCAGCATCCTTCATGGCCATGGTGCAGTGAGGACACAAAATCGACATTTTTACAAATTAAAGGTAATAATAATAATAAAGGATTGGTTTTATTTAATTATATGTTTCCAAGATCGAGTCTTGTTTGTTTGTTCAGATTTGTACCATTCATATACCAAGTTTGAGGTGATTCATTCATTTGTTTAATTTGGTCCATAAAGAGCCATTTTATTTCAAGGCGTGATTTGCGACACTGTTGTAATCTGTCTGCATGCAATAAACAATATATTTATTGCTAAGTGAATAAATGTTTTTAATTTTATAATGTCAAGTAAATAAGCACTGAACCACAAATAAAATTGTCTTTTGCATTGGAAACAAAAAGAACAGAATGTTACTAAAAAAAATGGAAACTATAGGTATAAAATGAGCAGACACTATGTTTAGTCAGTGTTTTTAACTTGAACGATTTTCTATAAATATTATTAACAATATAATATACATACATATTAACATAATATATATATTCAACATAAAATATTTATTTTATATTAACAACCTAATCATAGTTCATCATATCGTGGCCCGTTGTTGCGGATCAGTCTCTACTATTCTAGATATGAGGTGGCAGCATATCAGTAAGAAAGATTTGTAGATTGAGAAGATTTTGAAAAAAAAAAAAAAAAAAATCAGTTATCTTCTTTGCACCAGAACGGTTTTGGATCGGCCGAGTTCAAACCGGACTTGGCCATCCGGCAACCCATGGACATAATTCTCCATACTTAATATAAAATATATATTTATCCAAAAATAAAAAATCAACAAACTCATACTGAATTATCTTTCATGAAATATTAGAAGAAAAAAAAAAGAAAAAGTACTGCAATAACCAAAATTGAGGAATTTATAAAGCTATGATAAAAATATGATCAAAGGGTTTATTTAATATGATTTGTGTTTCAAAATAAATTTTTACTATGCACGGCTGTATCTGTTACATTATTACTAAATATATTTTATTTATTTATTTAAATATTATATTAATATAGTAGATAAATCAAAATTAAATAAAAACTCAGACTCAATTAAAAAAAAATAATGAAATTCACAAAAAGGTAAATAGAAATAAAAGTCTGAATAGTTAAAAAAAAAAAAATTAATATAAAATGATCTCTCAATTTACGTGAACAAAAATATACTAATAAATTAAGAGTGACCGAGTTGGTGTGGTATTTGACTATGACGTAATTGGTTCAGATTACATTGATGTCTTTTCGGTCGAGCCTGTCATCCTATTTAAAGTCGCTTTTCTTAAGAACCTGATTTGTAGGCTTGCATTCAATTCGAACTCAATACACGCTCAAGAATAATAATGGCGAGTTTTTATATTATCAATATATAACGGTGACGACTTAACATTCTCTTTTCTTTCTCACTCTATAGTAAAGAGAATTGCAAATTTTATTTGTATTTATGGTCAATTAGGCCAATTTGTCATGTATGTTGTCACAACTATGTTTTATATTATTATTATTATTATTCAAGATTCAAGATCAAAATAAAAGAAAATATAGTAACTTATTTTTTTAACTTCAATACTTTTTGAGTCTTTTTTTTTTTTTTGTATGTCTACGAAAAATATGTATATAAATTTTATTTATAGCAAATAAATCCTACCAATTTTTTGATTTATACTTTTTAATATTATATTTATTTACAAAAATACTCATTCTATCAAAAAATATTTTTTACTTTATTAACTCACTTATACATTTTCTAAGATACTCATATTTTATGTCACAATCAATTAATATAATTTATATTCATTAAAATTTGTCTATGAGCATACATTTTGTGGATGGATTTGATTGACAAATGAAGTATAAGATAAAAGGAATAAACAACAAATACATAACTAAATTTGTAATTTAGTCCCTACTATAGCATTCTCCTTCTCTTTTATATATACAAAAAAAATATTGCAAACAAAACATCACTTACACTATATCTTAACAGTATTATGAGATAAAAGAAAGAGGATACAATAGAGCCCAATAAAAGGTTACATAATTGACGTTTATATATGATAGATCAGATTAAAAATAAATAGATCCGAAAGTATCAAAAGAAATCGATAGAATTACAAGAAAAAAAGAAGATAAATCTTCAATAATCATCAAAGAAATTATTGAATCTAGTAAAATATATATATATATATATAATACAAAAAGAAACTAAATCTAGGAGATATTAATCAATCTATAATTCAGTTCATCACTTAAAAAAAATATTACTTAACATAAATATTATTCAATACACTGTCAACAAAAATATCAGCTTTGTTTAATCTCCTACGAGGCCTCCTTAAACCTAGCTTTTCAAACTTGAACATTCCTAACATCGAATTCTACTTCACAAATATCTCCATCTTCAATAGTTTTGTAAGGATATCCGCCACTTGATCCTTAGACTTGCAATAAACTACTTAAATTTTCTAGTTATGAACTAGTACACGTGTAAAATGATATTTGATGTCAATGTGTTTACTATGTCCATGCAAAACCAACCATAGTAAATCAGAGTTTGTATACAAAAGTTATGGCCAAAATACGATTTACCGACAAAACTCACAAAATCACACTTCTAAGCCCTGAATTCACTCAATTCCATGATCATTTGATGTGTTTAGGCTCAAAACCAACCATATTACTCAATCAAGGTCTAAGAACACTTAGAAACTACGAACAAAGCTTGTTAGTGCCGGCCAAAAATCACTACTACTTGTGTTTTCTTGGGAGACAAATTCAACAACACAACTCATGTTTGGGAATTAACAATGGATTGGAACTAGTTATCATTTCCATTAGAGAGGGAATTTTTGCAACAACAAAATGACTATTTCCAGAAACTATAAACTATCTCCAAATAACATGAACTAAACCTATGTTCTAACGCAAATTTGATCAAACAGGACATAGAGACATATTATCGAGCATGTTGTGAACAAGATAGCTACGAAATCTTATGATCAAATCAACAACCGCTCTGATACCAATTTATGACATGGATTAGGATCATCTCCATGAATCAAACTCGAAGACAAGTATCTAATATGTATTCGGGAACTTACAAATGCTGAATCGAAAATCGAAATAAAAATAGGATAAGTTGAATTCCAAAAGCAATCACTCCTCTCGAGCAAGCACTTTTGAGAATCCACGGACTGTCCGAGGCTACCGATGCATCTTCCGTCTCTCACGCAATTGCATCCGAAGCTCAATAATCGAATTGCCCTCTCGGCAGATGAAATCACTCCAACTCTAAGGAATCTCTCCAAAGATACGTAAACCCTCTCTCAAATGTTCTCATCTAAGTTGTGTGTCCATCAAGAAAATAAACAAGGTTATATATACTAAATGACAAATTAATCTAAGCCACACATCTTAAGTAGCAAGCTAATCTAAACCACACATTTTGATTAAGATCAAAGGATCACAACCTCCAAGCAAACAAGTAGCTTCGACCGGGTTCGGGATGCAATCGGTCTGTCTAAGTTCGGGTTCGGGTGATCCGGAGTTGTGTCATCATCTATTATTAAATATCTTGAACCATTAACTGGTGATTTATTTACGGCTTGATTTGGTGACTGTCATTTTAACGAGTCACATTTCTCAATATTAGGAAGAGAAACTGATCAATTGAAAAAGAAAATTACTTGAAAAATACCTTTCGATTTTCTTGATCCTTGTAATAGCCAAACTAAATTAAAAGCGCAAAAAATTGTACATTTGTAGCGAATAGCAAATCAATTATCTGATGCTTTTGTTATACCAGTAAGGTTACCTGATCATATGTACCTGTAAAGAATGCATAAGCTAAAATTATTGTCTCTGAAGGACAAATGCAAACCGCAAATGAATCAAATGTATGTCTAAAATGTTGCAGACCTTTAGGTTTCAAATATAAAAATCTTTGAAAGAAAAGAACAATAAATGAAAAGGTTGAGGAATTTTTGAATTTTAATCAAAATTCTCAATAAACAAGTAGTAAAATTGATTAAGTTCCCGAAGAAATTGATCCTAATAAACTACCTCAAAAAGTTTATCCGGATATAATTTTTCATGAAGAGAATGGTGTTATTGATAATTCAATAATTATATTTCTACTGGAAAACATTGGAACCAAAAAGACATAATTATAGATAATACTTTTGCATATAATGTATCACTTGATTTAATGGAAAATGACAAGTATCCTGAACCTAGATCAATTGATAAATGTCGGAAAAGAAAAAAATGGCTAAAATAGAAAAATGAGATCTAGTATGAATTGAATTCATTGGCAAAACAAAAAGTTTCTGGACTAATTGTACAAACACCCGGAGATGTTAAGTTTGCTGATTATAAAATGGTATTTGTTCAAAAAAAAAAGAGAATAATGAAATTGCCAAATTTAAAGCAAAGCTTGTAGCCTAAGATTTTTCACAAAGATATTTTTATGAAATTGATTGTAATGAAACTTATTCTCTAATAATTGATGGAATAACATTTCGCTATCTTTCTAGCTTTGTAGTTCATGAAAATTTAGATATGTGTTTGATGGGCATAGTAACTGCCTATTTATATGGTTCATTAGATACTGATATCTATATAAGAATCCCTGAAGGATTCAGTATGTCTGAAGCATGCAAATCAAAGCTAAAAGAATGTTATTATATTAAATTACAAAAATCTTGGGCTTAAGCAATATGGTCAAATGTGGTATAATCGTCTTAATGAATCATTATTGAAATAGAGATATGCCGATGATTATGTTTGCCCATGTGTTTTTATACAGAAAAATTGGAGAAAATTTGTGATAATAGTTGTTTATGTTGATGATTTGAACTTAATTGGAAACCCTAAAGAGGTTCAAGAAGCTATTGAATATTTGAAACGGAAGTTTGAAATAAAGGAATTCGAAAAAAAAAATGAAATTCTTCCTTGATCTACAAATTGAACATTTGGAAAATAAAATTTTGATCCATCAATTTGCATATACCCAAAAGGCATTAAAACAATTTTCAATGGATAAAGTACATTAATTAAGTACTCCAATTGCCATTGGAACTCTCGATCCTATTAAGAATCCTTTTAGACCGAGAGAAAAGACTGGGGAAGCACTTGGTCCTAGAGTACCATATTTATGTGTTATTGGTGCACTAATGTATCTAGCTAATAGTACAAGATAGTATTTTCTGTAAATTTATTAGTCAGATTTAGCACAATGCCAAGACAACGACATTAGAAACACATTAAAT